AAGGGAAGTGGGGAGGGTGATAGCAGGTTGGGGAGGGCAAAGCAAGAGCTTCCAGGTGCTTGCAGCCACCCTGTGAGGTGGGATTGCCAACCTCTGGGTCCCCACATTCTGTCCCCCTTGAGGCTCAGAGAGATAAAGCCATTTGGGTCATTTGTCTCCTCCTCATTCCAGGCCAGTGACCCTGGACTGGTCAGCATGCCTCTCAGGGTACCCCCATCACCCCACATGCCTAATGGGGAGCAAGCTAGCATCTCCTTCCTGGGACAGCATCATGAGTGAGGTACCTGCAAGGTCTGCTCACTAGAACAGTCACAAGGGGTAAGGCATAGCTATGGAAACAGGCCCAGGCTCTGGGGCTGTGAGTAGGGAAAAATCACTTCCCTTCCTGGCCTCGTGTTCTCATTTGCACCATGAGGGCTTTCAAAATCAAGGGAAAACTAGGTATTGGCCCCCTTGGAATAACCCTTCCAATGGCTTCCTGTTGTGTTTAGAATCAGACCCCCATGCCTCCTGCAGCTTCCAGAGAGCCTCGCCTCCCCCAGGATGGACTGGATTTAGTGACTGGGTGCTAACCAAGAGAATACCTTAAAAATGATGTGAAGTCACTACCCAGATTCACAACAAACTGCCATTTCTGTCTTGCTTCTTTGCTGTGTCCCTCCGTGCTATCCCTCACTCTGGGGAAGCAGGTTTTCAGTTGTCCCACAGAGGCCTTCGTGGCAGAGAAGCAGCAGAGGGCCTGGCTGACGGTCATAGAGGAACTGAGGCCCTCAATCAAAACAGAACCCTGCCATGGATGTGAGTGACTCAGAGGTGGGTCCTGTCCAGTCCCGCCTCAGAGGAGACCACAGTGCCAGCCTCCAAGAAACCTGGGAGCAGAGGCCTCAGCTGAGTGGGGCCACAAGATCCGTGTGACAGTCCTTGACTGTTGGAAGCTTTGAGTTGAGATGATGCCACCACAGAGCCATGGTGACTTACACAGTGCCCATGCCCCAGGGTCTGCCCACCCATCCCCAGCTCTCTCTAGCCTCACTGGCCTCCTTTCTCACCTCCTCTCTATCTCCACCACCCCGACCCTTCCCGGGACATGCTGTCTCCAGACTGTGCAGGGCTGGTTCCCCTTGTCCTTCTGGTCACAGTATACATGTCACCTTAGGGTGGCCTCAGAGACCCTATAGAGGGATCGCAACCTTCTCCCAGCACCTGGATCCACCTTCACGACAGCACTCGCTCTTTCCTGAATGTATTTGCTTTTGTGCTTGTCCCTGTCCCCTCTCACCTGTGAGCCCCGGGGAGGGCAGCCCACCCAGAACTAACACAGAAGCCCCCCATGGATGAGCGCTTGGCACATTTGGTGAATGGAAAGACCACAGGATCTCAGACTGCCCTCCTCGCGTCTGAGCAGCTCATGGTGTGCTGAGGGATGCTAAAGACTGAGGGGAGCACGTTGGGTGAAGGCAGGGCACCCCCAGGGAGACCCCGGGGCTCCCCCAGGCTCCAGTTGCTCCATAGAGCTCAGCGGGCACCTCTGCCCCCTGGTGGCCAGAGCTAGCATTGCAGCCCAGGAAGCAGAAAACAAAACACACACCTTTGTTTGGTGTTGTCAAGGTAGCAGCTCTCCCGGGCCCCAGCGCGGGCAAAGGAGCAGGACCTGCGGGTTCGAGGGAAATTCAAGCCTCTCCTGCTCTCCTCTCTCTCTGTGCGGGCCCTGGGGTGTCCAGTTCACCCAGGAGCACTCCTCACCCCAACCAGGGCAATGACTGCCACTCGGCTTCAAATGAGGACCCCTAGCTCCAAGAAGGACAATCTTGGGAGTAGTCCAGTGCTCTGCTAGGCTCTACACCACCCCAGGTCCTCAGTCCCCCAAACCCTAGGCTGCTCTCTGCTCAGAAGGCCCTCCAGGGAGAAAAAAGCATTTCCAAGGCCTTTAGTGGCAGTGGGTCATGGATGGAGAACTGAGGCCAACACACACATCCTCCAGCCGGGGGGCCTTTGGAGTCACCAAGGACAAGCACTTCGCAGAGGAGGAAGCTGAGGCCTTCTCTCCCGTAACGCCCTCTGTGCTAAGGAGAGGAGCTCGTCCTAGTTCCAGGTGCCCAGACTGCTGGATGCAGGGCCCCCAACCCTGTCCTCTTGAGGCTGCCCTGGGGCCTTGGGGCTGCCCTGCCCATCAGCCTGGCACGTCTCCCCAACAGCTGTGGGCCTGGGCACGTTGCTAGGAGACCGGATGCCCCCACTCCGTGGAGAGGTGTCTCTACCCTCTCTCTTCTTTCCCCCTTGTCACCTCCCTACTGTCCCGTTCTCTTATCTCTTAGGAAGTGTGTGGTGTGTAAGCGCCGGTGCGTGCGTGGGGGATGCCCAAAGAGCCCCTGATGAGAGGTGGTGGGCTGGGCTGCCCAGGATTAAGCCCTGGCCTGGAAGGCTGGAACCCTCCTTTCTCCTCTGGACTCTGCCCACCTCGTGTGCCTGGTGCCAGTCGTTGCTTCTCTCCTGGCCTCAGTTTCCCAATTGTACCAGGACGGGTCGGACACGGAACTGCGTAAGCGCACGTTCAGCGTGGACGAGACACCAGGCACCGTCCCCGCTGGGTGGGGTGTGGGCGGGGGCGTATGGTCTTCCCTCCACCCCCACTGGCCCGCAGGGCACCGGGGCCGAGGAGGGGCACTCACCTGGCAATCTACCATCATCCTCAGCCTCGGCAGCTCATCGCCGGCCCCAGGGCGGGGCCCGGGGCTCGCAGAGGCCGC